CTAGAAAATAAGACTAACTTGTTCTGCGAGTCTCAAACACAAAACTGAGTTTTTGTGCAGCTCTGCTGGCAGCACTCGGAACAATGCATCCAAACAAGGTTTGGATTTATCTCAGGAAAATGCAGAAAAACATTTCCTTAAAAATACCAAAACAAACCTCTATGAGGTAGAGTCATAAATGCTTTAAAGTATTCTCAGATAGGTAACGCTAGGCCAAAGCAAAGGCAGAGTTTAAAAGACTACTTTGTGGGAATCCACACACGACAGAGAGTCTGGCTAGGACATCGAGTGAGCTGGAGTAAAGCATGATCAGAAAGTACAGTGACAGTTCTGTATTGTCTGAAAAACTGTCACCTTGTAATGGCACCGGAACACCAAAAAAAGTCATACGGCTGCTGAATCCGTCACAGGGGTTGTCTTTGGCAAAATCTACCACGAGGTGGTGCCAGTGGGTGGGAACGAACCACAACATAGTAACCTCCTTGCTAGAATTGCCTAAAGGTAAAACTAATTGTTAGGTCGAACGCACTCAGCACCCTTCCACTCTCAAAACAGATAATAACCAGCACCAAAAACGCCATGTGTATACCAACACAGAAAAGTGTCACTCAGGCAAAGCCTGTAGAGAGATGCAGTAACACAGTCGGTCAGTACAGGGGAGGAAAACAGGCCCACTTTCAAGCCCACAAACTTGTTTTCAGGTTACATTAGGCAGCAAAGATGCTCTAGTTTTGAAGGTTATTTCCCCCAGTAGTTCAGAAAAGTGTGCTTGCTGCAGGCTTTCCCGTGATCCCTGCAGCAGCCGGCCAGAGCTGACGGTGCCCGGGGTAGAGCCGGGTGCACCTGCTGGGCTGCTATTACAGCAAAAAAAGAGGTGTAGGGGCAAATGGGAAAGCCAGTGGCTCACCCGGCCTGGACCCATCTGCGCAGAGATGTCTCCCTCTTACCAAGGGAAATGGAAGAAATGCTACAGGTCTCATCGCACAGCAAACATTTCTCAAAGCAGCCGGCTGCACCGTTAAATCAGAACTTACTTGGCTGAGCGTGCTGACTTCTGGACGATGCATGGCTCCTGTCTCGTATCAATGCGCGTGACAAGCTATTTCTTTTTTCCCTTAAAAACCTGTAGGTTAAAGCTGCCGAGTTTAAGGCTTTGCTGTCTGGTGTAGGACAGTTTGTCAGGAGAGACATCCTTTGAGCTTCATTCTGTCATGCCTCGTTTTACGCTGCCTTAGTGTGAATACTACTGTGCCAGTTCCAACAACTGGCTCGTTCCTAGTCATTAACAAACAGGGGCTGCTGATGGCAATACTCCATTTATTGTGGATGCAGTTTCAGAATACATTGTTTGAACAAATCATTTTTATTGCAGCTATCAAATGTATTTGAAAGACTCAAAGGAGTGTTTACAAAACCCCAAAACAAAAAACATGACAGCTCACAGACACAACGTCAGGCACAGTTTCACCCCCTACAGATAACTGGGTGCATCTCGACATGTAAACAAGATGTTTCAACCAAGCAGGGGAGCTCATCTTTGGGTTGCAATATAAGATTCTTCCTCGTTAGGAACAAGTCGGGCACTATAAAAGCTGAAGTGGTGAAAAGGGAGATCCCGGTAGTTTCGATGCACAATAAAGCTGTTAACAACGCATTCTGGGGCTACTTCAGTTGCTCAGTTTATTCCACCCATACACTGTAGGATGTAAATGCTAAACCGTATGGCATGTAAATTCAAACCAAGCTGACGTCTTATAGCCATGTGTTTACTATATACAAATCAAAACATCTGTAAATAAGATATTGGGGAGAGAGAGTTAAGAAGAAGCACTATAAAGATAGAGGTTTACTTCATTTCAGGTGGATCTAGTGTACGGCACTGATGAATGGCAAGATTTAGTGTACAGTCATCTGAAACAAGCTCTAACTGTGTTTAGTTTTATTTTTTTAATTATGGTAGTTTTATATAAATTAAACTACAACGTTTTATACAAGTGACCTATTTTTGACCCTCTATATCCCTTACCTTTCCCTCTTTTAAAAACTATAACTTTCTTTTTAATTACCCATTACTAGGCAACTGACATTTAAAATTTTTTAATACTTATCTCGCCATACCTCTAATGGCAATTATGAAATCTTACTATAGAAAAGTGTGTGATTTTGTCTTTACTTTTTAAGCTGTGATATTGGCTAATTATGTATGTTTATTACTAAATATAATACTCTAGCATGTATTAAAGCATTCTACCATTAGTAGTGCCTTTAGGCTAAACTTTGTAAAGCTATGTGTGTATATATTCTAAATTGCAATCAATTACTAGTCACTAACAACAAAAAGAAATATCAGTACCGCTGTCAGCTAACATAATCATCCAAATTTAGGTATTAACTTAAACTAGAATGGAAAAATTGATGCTTAAAAAAAGTAAAAAACAAAAAAAATTTTTTAACAAGTTATTGATGCAGTATTTCTCATGACATGGGCAACTTACAGAAAATATTACATTGTCAACTAAAGATATTTCTTCCATGCCTTAGTCTAAAGTGCAGAAAGAAAGACTTCTGTATTCCAAAAGTAACCATTGTTTTTATAGGTTTACTGCACACCTTGCTTAAGCAACTTCACTTTACATGCATTTTGGGTTGACCTCTTATGCCAGTTGAAATCACTGTTCAGATACATAGTTAGTTATGACTATCAGTAGGAGAGTCTATATATTTCACAGCATGGGTTTCTTTAGGAATAAAGGCTCTTGTGCAAAGGCAGTACTATTATGATGAATGTCTAGACTGATTATTAAATACAGTGCTAATATACATGGTTTTAACTGGGATAATGCAAAAAGACATTTTGGTAAATAAACATAAATATAAAAAGAACAATTTAGCACTTTTTTTTTCCCCCAACTGATTGGTCCAGCGTCTTTAGTAGCCTTCTATGGTTCTTTCTCAAATTGTCTCAAACCTGCTGAGAGAGAGAAAGATTAAAGGTGGCTCGAAAACACCTGAACGTATCTCTCAACCACAGTGGGCATAGCTCTAGATGAACAGGCAGCATGTAAAAAGGCAGGACCCACGAAGGACCTTACCGTGCTCCCATGTTGGGCTGCTCAGACGTGGTCTCCAAGAGGACAAGCAGGCTTTCCCTACAACACCTCGCGGGAAGCCTCAGGAGCCTTCCACCCCGAAATGCCAAGCATGCTTTACCCTGCGCATCCTCCTTGACCTCCTCCTAAACCCCTAGGGGAGGGCCACCACGCTGAGGCAGGCTGCGCAATGGCCCTGGGCAGGCACCCTGCAAGCCCATGGTAAACCAAAAGCTATCCCAAGCCTGGCCTCACAACCTGCCGCTGGTGGTCCCTCCTCATCCCCCACAGCTGCAGAGAGGATGCTCCAAGGGAGCAGGGCTCAGCTAACACCGAGCAAGCCCAAAAATCCCCTTCTTAACCCTTTTGGTTTACAAAAGGAGAAGAAGAAAAAAAGAATTAAGCTTTGTGGAACTCTAAACTCATAAGAGAAGTCCACAAAAAGTACTGTAGCTCTCGCTTCACCTCAGTATGTTTTTTCTACATTTGATCATTTTATTCCTACCAAAAAATCCAGGGATGCTACAGGGTATCTTAAATCCATTAGGCTGATCAGGGAATTTCCCTTCTATCCCGCAGGTCCTTAGACTCCTATTTCCTCTAACTGATTTTATTTGAAGTGTTTAAGGTTAAAAAAAAAAAAAAACCGCATAAGCTAGGAGAGTAATTTTGCTGATTTCTTCCAGTACAACTAGATAGTATTTCCCAAACTAGTAATTTCAAACTGGCAGTAGTAAGACCATTTCTGTCTTGAGAAGACACCAATGCACAGCTCCAGCAGAAGCAGTGTTGCTGCCGTGTACATCTGAGCTCCAGTCCAGTCCAGTCTGGGTAGGCAAGAGCACGTGGGACTCAGAACCAGCCAGATCAAGTTTTAAAAATCTACTGTGTTGACTTGTCACTGGACTTCACCGTTACCCAGTGGCGGTGTTTAAAATCAGATAAGGGCTTGTTTCCAGCAGTGCTGAAGTCTTCATTTCTGTTCAGCAACGCTACCGCACCAGCCTTGCTTTGGGTTCCCCCTCCCCACTCACAGAAAGTATGTCAATTCCCACTACAGCCTTTAAAAGAGCCTTTCCTAGTTGCCTGATGTTTGCCGTAATTAGCTAAATGACCATCCCATTCCTCGGACCTCAGAGAGTTTAATGATACTCTCTGGCTACAGCAAACATGCTACAGATGTTACTCGAACAACACTTTGCAAACATGGCTGGAGAACATTTTGTCCTCAGTCCTTCTAAAAAGATGATTGTGGCTTATTGCTCAAAACAGCAGTCACATTTTGATGATACTCTAACAAGAGCTTTTGAAAGGCAAAGGAAGAAAGTGGTTTTTGCATCACTATTAACAGCGATAGCATTAAAAAACCCAGGTGTGTCTGTATGAAAAAGTGCCAATGTCTCTATTTAATATGCAGGTGAATTATTAGAATTACTTACCATTAGTCTCTGATTTTTTCCCCACAGCTGTTACCTGTATTGAAAAAAATAATAACCCATTATTCTAGTTGAATATGGGAAAATGTAGCTACTCATACTGGGAAAGAAAAAACAGGGTTCTACACACAATTCATTCCTACCAAACAGGA